TCTGGTAATTACCGGAAGCTCTTCCAACTCATCCGAGCCACTGGCAGCAAGAAGTCTGGTGTGAGCGAAACAATCTGCGGGGATGACGGAACGAAAATCACTAACGTCCATCGACGTCTTGGACGATGGGCAGAATTCTTCGAAGCGCAGTTCAACTGGTCTGCTGCTCCGGCAACATCGGTCGGACTGTCCTGCCTTCCATGGCCGGTGATGACTGATCCATCAAATGAGGCGGAAGTTTTCAAGGAACTCTTGAAGCGCTACAAACCACCGGGTCCAGATGACTTACCTCCAGCTCTTTTTAAAGATGGTAGTGACTTTCTGGCTAAGGAACTGACGACGTTGTTTACAAAGCTCTGGGAGCTAGAGAGTGTACCAACGTCATGGAATGAGTCGATAGTTGTCCCTATCTTGAAAAAGGGTTCACGTCGTTTCTGTAACAACTATCGGGGGATAAGTCTACTTCCGATTGCATCCAAGCTATTAGCTTCCATCATACTTCGTAGGTTGGTCAAAACCCGAGAAAGATTGACTCGCGAGGAGCAGGCTGGTTTTCGTTCCGGTCGAGGATGTATTAATCACATCTTCACCCTCCACCAAATGTTAGAACACCTTCATACTTATCAAAGGCCAACGGTCGTAGTGTTTCTTGACATTAGGGCTGCCTTCGATTCGTTGGACAGGACTGTTCTCTGGGATCGTCTAGTGAAGAAGGGTGTGCCTGAGAAGTTTGTTAACATCCTAAAGGCCCCATATACAAACACCTCAGGCAGAGTGAGGGCATACAACCACCTCTCTCCATTGTCCTATTCGAGCAGTGGGGTTAGACAGGGTTGCTCAATCTCACCATTCCTCCTCAACTTTGCCATCGATGACATTCTGGAAGCAGCACTGATGGATGTAAGTAATGGCGGTGTGGATCTGTTGCCTGTAGAAAGACTTCTCGACCTTGAGTATACGGATGATATTATCTTACTGTGCGATAATGCCCAAATCATGCAATCCGCAATTAGTCATTTGGCAACCAGTGTCCGTAAGTACGGTATGTGCTTTGCACCTTCGAACTGCAAAGTACTTCTACAAGACTGGCAGGATTCTAATCCTGTACTCACCCTGGATGGTGAGCAGATAGAAGTAGTTGAGAAGTTCGTGTATCTAGGTAGCTGCATAAGTGCTGGTGGTGGCCTGACTGATGAGATCAATGCACATATAGTGAAAGCCAGAGCGGCTTATGTCAATCTGGGCCATCTTTGGCGTCTTCGTGATGTTAGTCTGGCTGTAAAAGGTCGGATCTACAACGCGTCGGTGGGAGCAGTTTTGCTCTATGCTTGTGGAACCTGGCCTCTCCGAGTTGAGGATGTTAGACGACCGTGAGTTTGACCACAAACGAAGGATGTTACGTAAGGAAATCGGACAAAGCTTGCGTAAGAAACGAGAAGCCTGGTGGTCGAAGCGTGCTAATGAGCTGGAAGCAGCAGCTGCATCTGGTAATTACCGGAAGCTCTTCCAACTCATCCGAGCCACTGGCAGCAAGAAGTCTGGTGTGAGCGAAACAATCTGCGGGGATGACGGAACGAAAATCACTAACGTCCATCGACGTCTTGGACGATGGGCAGAATTCTTCGAAGCGCAGTTCAACTGGTCTGCTGCTCCGGCAACATCGGTCGGACTGTCCTGCCTTCCATGGCCGGTGATGACTGATCCATCAAATGAGGCGGAAGTTTTCAAGGAACTCTTGAAGCGCTACAAACCACCGGGTCCAGATGACTTACCTCCAGCTCTTTTTAAAGATGGTAGTGACTTTCTGGCTAAGGAACTGACGACGTTGTTTACAAAGCTCTGGGAGCTAGAGAGTGTACCAACGTCATGGAATGAGTCGATAGTTGTCCCTATCTTGAAAAAGGGTTCACGTCGTTTCTGTAACAACTATCGGGGGATAAGTCTACTTCCGATTGCATCCAAGCTATTAGCTTCCATCATACTTCGTAGGTTGGTCAAAACCCGAGAAAGATTGACTCGCGAGGAGCAGGCTGGTTTTCGTTCCGGTCGAGGATGTATTAATCACATCTTCACCCTCCACCAAATGTTAGAACACCTTCATACTTATCAAAGGCCAACGGTCGTAGTGTTTCTTGACATTAGGGCTGCCTTCGATTCGTTGGACAGGACTGTTCTCTGGGATCGTCTAGTGAAGAAGGGTGTGCCTGAGAAGTTTGTTAACATCCTAAAGGCCCCATATACAAACACCTCAGGCAGAGTGAGGGCATACAACCACCTCTCTCCATTGTCCTATTCGAGCAGTGGGGTTAGACAGGGTTGCTCAATCTCACCATTCCTCCTCAACTTTGCCATCGATGACATTCTGGAAGCAGCACTGATGGATGTAAGTAATGGCGGTGTGGATCTGTTGCCTGTAGAAAGACTTCTCGACCTTGAGTATACGGATGATATTATCTTACTGTGCGATAATGCCCAAATCATGCAATCCGCAATTAGTCATTTGGCAACCAGTGTCCGTAAGTACGGTATGTGCTTTGCACCTTCGAACTGCAAAGTACTTCTACAAGACTGGCAGGATTCTAATCCTGTACTCACCCTGGATGGTGAGCAGATAGAAGTAGTTGAGAAGTTCGTGTATCTAGGTAGCTGCATAAGTGCTGGTGGTGGCCTGACTGATGAGATCAATGCACATATAGTGAAAGCCAGAGCGGCTTATGTCAATCTGGGCCATCTTTGGCGTCTTCGTGATGTTAGTCTGGCTGTAAAAGGTCGGATCTACAACGCGTCGGTGGGAGCAGTTTTGCTCTATGCTTGTGGAACCTGGCCTCTCCGAGTTGAGGATGTTAGACGACCGTGAGTTTGACCACAAACGAAGGATGTTACGTAAGGAAATCGGACAAAGCTTGCGTAAGAAACGAGAAGCCTGGTGGTCGAAGCGTGCTAATGAGCTGGAAGCAGCAGCTGCATCTGGTAATTACCGGAAGCTCTTCCAACTCATCCGAGCCACTGGCAGCAAGAAGTCTGGTGTGAGCGAAACAATCTGCGGGGATGACGGAACGAAAATCACTAACGTCCATCGACGTCTTGGACGATGGGCAGAATTCTTCGAAGCGCAGTTCAACTGGTCTGCTGCTCCGGCAACATCGGTCGGACTGTCCTGCCTTCCATGGCCGGTGATGACTGATCCATCAAATGAGGCGGAAGTTTTCAAGGAACTCTTGAAGCGCTACAAACCACCGGGTCCAGATGACTTACCTCCAGCTCTTTTTAAAGATGGTAGTGACTTTCTGGCTAAGGAACTGACGACGTTGTTTACAAAGCTCTGGGAGCTAGAGAGTGTACCAACGTCATGGAATGAGTCGATAGTTGTCCCTATCTTGAAAAAGGGTTCACGTCGTTTCTGTAACAACTATCGGGGGATAAGTCTACTTCCGATTGCATCCAAGCTATTAGCTTCCATCATACTTCGTAGGTTGGTCAAAACCCGAGAAAGATTGACTCGCGAGGAGCAGGCTGGTTTTCGTTCCGGTCGAGGATGTATCTATGTAGCTGAATAAGTCCTGGTGGTGGCCTGACTGATGAGATCAATGCACATATAGTGAAAGCCAGAGCGGCTTATGTCAATCTGGGCCATCTTTGGCGTCTTCGTGATGTTAGTCTGGCTGTAAAAGGTCGGATCTACAACGCGTCGGTGGGAGCAGTTTTGCTCTATGCTTGTGGAACCTGGCCTCTCCGAGTTGGGGATGTTAGACGACTCTGTGTTCGATCATCGCTGTCTCCGAAGGATTGCTGACATCCAGTGTCAACACCATGTTAGTAGTGCAGAGATTCGGCATCGTGTGTGCGAGCGCAAAGACGATAATTCAATTGTTGTCACCATCTTGAAACACCGATTTCGGTGGCTTGGACATGTTCTACGAATGTCGTCACAGAGAATTCCACGTCGTGCACTATTTGACGACTCTGGGACTGGCTGGAAAAAGCGGAGAAGTGGTCAATGTATGACATGGTGCCGGGGTATGAAAGAATGCTGCAAAGGGCTGGCTTCTGTTGGTTCCTTACGACTCCCTGACTGGGGTCCTAGAGATGGTGCAACACAGTGGCTAGAGACGTTATCAGATATGGCGCAGAATAGAAGTCAGTGGCGATCCTGCTGGAACCTTCTTTAACTTTCTTCATAAAAAATGGTTGTTTCTTCCTTAACTGAAAGATTTCTTTTAATTGTACCTTTCCGTTTCCTACATTACTATTATTATTATTACACTACCTTACACTAACCTATTTGTTATTGTTCTCTTTTCTCTCTTCGAAATCTCATTGTTTTGTGTTGCGCAAATATATATTTGTTGCCCTCTTGTACCAATATTTATGTGTTCAAATATATATATATATATATATATATATATATATATATATATATATATATATATATATAGCTTTTCTATTCGATAAAATCAATGGTAAAATACTTTATCTGTTGTGATGCTGTAGATGAGTACAGTCGTTGAGAAAAAAAGAAAAGAAACCAGGAAACTGGAATATTAAGAAAATCTTGAGGAAGACACAAACGACTAGGTTTTTTATATGACCAGTTTTTAAATCTAAAAGTTGTCTCGTTGGTATGATTTGTAAGCCATGTCTTAAACCTTCATTGTATATTCTTTTCTATATCACTTAGGAACCCTATTGTCTAAAAAGATTGAAACAAGGAATCAATGAATTTATGAGTTAGAATTATGCTTTAGTTTGATTACCTTCACTGCTTTAAGTCTCGAGAGATTTAGTGCAACAGAAAACCAAGAAATGTACCAAATTTTAGTTCGAATATCACAAAGTCCTCTAAATCTACTCCAAATGATCAACATGTAATGAAAATCACCTTTAAATTGAACAAAATCTCTGGGAAACCACATTAGAAACATGTTATTTTATCTATTTTGGATTCCGTCACATTTCTAAGTGTTTTACCCAAAAAACTTCAATATCATCAACTGTAAGCTTTAAGTTATGCGTAATTTGAATAACTTACCAGTAGAAGCCAGATAGGTATCTTGGTCAAGAGAAGACAACATAGTACTCGACCGTGTGATGGTTAGATTATTCAGACTATCAGTACTTTTGTAATCTTCACTATCCACTACATTATCTTGTATTGCTTCAGAGTTTGGTTTGCGCCTTACTGTTTGATCAAACTTTGGTTGTCCCAAAGGAGTAGGTTTTGTGAGTACATGAATAACTTGAACTTCGCTTGTAGGAAAATCATCAGGGTTTGATGTATCACATGATTGCGGACCGTCATATGCTAAAACATTTATACAGGGTGAAATATTAATTTGAGCATAGGTGGACTAAAGCCACACTAAATCGAAACGATGAGATCTTTAAATCGAACTTCACGGCAGTTTATACTGATAAGTGTAGAAGAGATAAAAAGGAAAACAGACTGACAACTGAAACGACATATAGTAGCATTGGTCAATATTATTAAACTTAATTTAAAACGCGTTCTACCACCGGTTATAACAGAAGTTCGGTCTACGCTTTTATAACAGTGAATGGAAGTATTTTATGTTGTGAAGCTGTTTGGGATAAACGATCTCCAGCTAAATGTCACTAACTTAATCAACAAAAAGATCGTTTCTTTAAAAGACTAGTAAACCAAAAGTAATTGATAAACTTAAACGTAATTTTCCACCAAATTTAAGAAATGTATGTAGTCTAACAAAAATAACTATAATTCAGCACAGCAGATTAAAATACGTGAATTGAAAACACGATCAATCAGTTTATTTGTATTGTAAAGGTAAAATTCCCGAAAACAGTTAAAATCACCATGTTTTGAAAGGAACTCAAGAAAAAAAGAGACGGTCAAACGGGTCGAAAAATAGCGCAAATGTTAGTCTGAATAAATGAAAGGCACACAATGAATAACAGACACCATGAATAATGATGTAATGTAATCCCAAATCTTGATTCCGTATTATCTTACAATAAACAGATACTGTGTTATTAAGTAGTCACGTCGTTACTTCTTACTACAACTTAATCCCAGATCAATGATCCCACAATACAAGCATCGTACCTTTTTATTGAAATAGTGGGAGTTTTACTAACTAGTAGTTACAAATATTCATTCGGCTACAACGCAGGACCAAGCACATATATGCATCTGTCCAAGTTGCCAAACCTCATTAGCACAGCAAGATGAACACCAAATCCATAGAAGTAATCACATCAATGGTAGTAATGTATAAAAGAAAGATTTGTGGAGATAGACCTGACAAGCTTATTTTATAAATAGTCTATGGTACAACTCTAACGTTACCTGGTCAACTAGTCAACTATGAACCTACAACGCCCGGGGATTCTACTCACTTCGCAAGTCACCTATTACAAACGATGCAGAATATTAAAGCAATATCCCCTCGCGAGCACAACTATCGAGTCCAACTTGATAAAAACCTTGAGACGTGCAAATTTGTCTTCGTCCGAGTAGATGCGATTAAAAAAACATTAAAACAACCATAGGAAGGCCCATATAAAGTAATTAGACGCACACAAAAATACTTCATCATCAACAGAGATGGCAACAAGCAGACCATTTCTATAGACAGAATAAAACCTCCTTTCTATGAAGCTACTCAAGTCAAAGAAGACAACGCCGTTGACAAACAACCCCTCCTACCAGTGACTGAAAAACCAGTGGAGGATAAAAAACTTAATACTAAGCCTTCTTGTTTAACACGCTCCGGTAGACTTATAAACAAGCCCAAGCGTTATGTTCATTTCGTCGATTAAAACAAAAAAAAGCAAACACCTACCGATGTCCCACACTACTAATTTCACCCAAAAATTTTTTTCTTTTCACAGTGTACATAATCACATTTTTCCACAATTATTCGTTTTGTCACATTTATTTTTTTTATAAAAAAATTTTTTTGTTACTATGATAAACGAGTAAACTCTATTTAATTACTCATTTATTGTACACAAAAATAAACAGTTCAATTTTTTTTGGGTCATTAGCAGTTTTGCACATTATTATTATCATTGTTAGCCAAACAAGACATTAAATGACAGTGTTTTCATTTTTTTTGTGTTTATTATGCTATGCTACATATCATACTCATCTCCACATTTTTGTTAGTTATAACTGTAAATATTATTTTTGTATACATGTATATATCATATCCTTACATTTTTTTTATTATAACCAGTGTTACCTCCGGATACTCTGGGAGGAGCTATGTGGAGATAGGCCTGACAAGCTTATTTTATAAATAGTTTTCAATGTTATTTGTATTTATTTTGTCAACCTTCCACTGTATGTATATTTAACATTAAATGACTGTAACTGTTGTTTTATTAAATGACCTTGAACACACTTTCCGTTATGATCCTGACATAGCGTGACATACTCTTGCTGGCTAACAAATACACTACTACTCACACATTCCTCGTTCTATCTTCGTTTGTGATTGAGTTAACTGAAGTCTAAATCAAATACTATCATTATTTATAGACTGTAGTTGGAATATACCACATTCTACGTTGGATTATATCACTGGAGAGTTCGTCAACCCGCTCAGAATCACCAAGCATTTATAATTGTGGATTTACAATACCGGACCCAATCAGAACACGCAACATTTGGTCAATTTAAGTAACGTTCCAAATTTTTATTGTATTTGTAACAATTAACTGGTATATATTAATATTACTATTGATCTTTAGTAACTTTGTTAATACTTTTCGCGTTCATATCTGTCTGGTCCACCACAGATTGAATATAAGGATATAGTAAAGGGAGAATCAGTTGGTAGAAAGAAAGATATAAAGCAGTTTTACAATATTAGATAAAACCTCTCAATCTCATCCAAATCGTCGCCCAACTTTTGGTGTTACATCCAGATTATGCCGAGGAAAATTTGGGCAGCTGAAAGAAATCTAGATAAATCATCACTCAACAACAACTAGGATAAAATTACAGCAAAACATTGGTTAAACCTTCATAATGCTTACAATGACAATCGTTTGAGAAGACTTACCATAATAATTTTCATCGGTTCTATCTTTTATTGGGAAACCTAAAGCCGATTGACTTGATAATTTGTTTTCTCTCCAGCTATTAGCTTTACAACTACTGATACCAGCACTTTCTGTACGTTTTTGAAGTGACAACACTTGGTGTGCATATTTTTGCCTTTGTTTGTTGCGCAGAAGTTCTCTTTGCTTCTCTAGTTTTGTAAATCGCACATTTTCCATTATTAAGATGGCCTAGGAAAATAACTAACAAGTCTGAGAAAAGCCATTGGACCTGTAACATTTCAATAGAATTTAGGTAGAAGACACATGGACGGTTTACAAAGCATCAATACAAATGGTATATCACTAATTAAATTTTGAGGATAGGAATTTCAATGAGGAACATGTATAAAGATGGATGAGTTATAAAAGACCCAGGAAAATGAGCTTAAGTATATTATTTTGAAAAAACACATAGTTGACAAAAGCCTCCTGTTTGGGTAGAAGATAGAACATCCCTATAGAGTGCTTATTTGATATAAATAATCTAATTGGACAACTTTAGATATACCATAGTATCGACAATCCAACTAGTCACTTCCATTCATCGCGATGAAATTTCTGTGACAATGTCTCATAAGTTTAAACGACTTTAAAATCAAAGCAGTTTTGGAGATCCTTAAATCCGTAAGTGAAACTCAGGAAATATATGCCGTTATTATGCATAAACGATACTGTTTTGATGGAACACGATTACCAATGAAATTGCAACCCATCTTTTTTAGCAAGAGTAAGAAGCATTGTAGTTTTTATAAAAGGGATTACATGGTACCATTCTGCTCAGTTTTTTCCTAGTAGAAGCAAACCTTAGAAATAATTAGTGCTAGAAAGTAGTGAAAGAATCCCACAATTTCCTTAAGAAATCTCATTTATATTCCATCGAGATCTAAAAACTTCCCAGTTTCTTAAGGTTTAAACAACAAAATACGCAGTTTTAGCAATTGAGGCAATAATGGAAACACACATCTGGTAGATGTTAAGCTGAAACCCTCAGTCAGTCAAAAAGCGCAAATTACATTACCAAGAATACATGTATGCTTAGAGACATTTTTTATCAAGTGAGATTCTATGAAACCTGCCTAGTATATCCAAATTAAGATTGTCTTATATGACAGGAATTTGAAACCAGCTTTATACTATAAGTAAAGCATGACATTAGTGTCTAGGTAGCACCTTCCAAGGAGAAATTATTTTATAACATCAACCTTGAGGAACTATAACGAAACTCATTTAGGTAGTGATGAAATTCAGAAACGAAAATGATATTCTATGATGAAATTTTACGTCACATGAAGGTGAATAACTTTTAGCTACGTAACCACACATTTTTGATCTTTGTCACTCGAGCTTCGTGAACACTACAAGATCAGGTTGCGACAATAGGTAGGAATACGTACCATTTATATGATTTAGTAAGGAACTTAATAAATTCCTACAATGAAGAATCCGTATCAAGATGAAATGCTAGGGGATCAATGATAACACTAGGTAACCTGGCTAGGGTAACGCCCACTGAATATCACAAGACCTGGAACGGTACCGAAACAAGAAACGGGCGTTAAGAAGTAAGTTGGTGTATACGTGTTCATAACAAAGATAATAAATACTGGTAAACTCCCTTAGCGACAAACTAATATGGAGAGTAGATGGTGAACTGCTGTCATGGGGGACAGTACAATCGAGTACAATCTTAAGCCATTCCCCGTATTTACTTGAAGTAAATTAACTAGTGTTAACGAACAAATTCAAATGTTTGCATGCACCACAAGCAGAGAAGATTGCATTCTTAACTGCATGCAGTAAAGTTGTAATATGACTACCCCCACAAGAATGATTCTTCTTATAAACAGTTGTTGGAGTTGAGTACCTGTAAAATTAGTGATGAGGCGAGACGAACCAGACACATTTAAGATAGCAGGTCTTGAATTTTGGAGAGAAATTCATTCACTAATTTGCTTGCTCAAAGGTCGTCTATAAATTATTGTCTCATTTAACGCAGCGATAAATGAAACTGGTTTTTCATTTTTTGTATAAACTTTTAGAACATCAATGGGAATCAGTCATCCCAAGCAACAAAAAAGGGGTAAATGACGGCAAATTTTTAAGTATCTAGTATTAATATAGACGACAGTGCATCAAAACTTTGCCTTTTCCCCAGACAGATGCAAGCAGTGCGCAATTTCCTCATCCAAGTAAAATAAGTCACAAAATTAACAGTTTAATCTTCCCGAAAATATATACTTTTCTCAAAAACTAGCAATTTCCTCGTTGCCTTCCAAACGTTGGGATTGCAAAACCGACAATACATACAGCGGTTTTAAAAAAAAACATTTCACTAACATAAAAATCATCTGACAGTTAAAGAAACCCACTTAACTATCTTCCTTTGCATCATTTCACCTAAGACTGAGAGACTGTCTCAATTTCGCACTACTGTACTGATCTGCTACAGCTGTACTGTTGAGTAGATGTACTCAATAATTCTGAAAAATATAGAGGATCCTTAGCATCAAGATGAATTTAGTGCACCTTTTACATGGGACATAAAATGATTATATAACTACTTGACAAATATTTCTTCATTAATGTAGACATATTTTATGACACAAACTACATACCGATTTGCAACTTTATCTTCCTTGTAAATAATGGGGACTGAAAACCAGAACGTAAATGATGCAAAAAATCATCTACATCGAATGTCTGTTTAACCAAATGCAGTCCGCTTCAAATATTTAAATGTGGAATAACGACCATTTTCGAAATGTCATCAATCTAATAAACCAACTACCAGGGAGTTTGGATGCGGTAAAACAAGAAAAATTTCAACATATTATACGTTTGTTGCTTTCATCAGATTGTGGAGATAGGCATGACAAACTCACACTGCTAAATTCACTCAATTTCTCGATAAAATCTACTATTTTTTCTTCTTTTCTTACGTGTATATAATTAATCACATTTTTTCACAATTACTCGTTTTATCACGTGTTTTTTTAAAAAATAGTCACAATAATAAACGGGTAAATTCTAGTTAATTATTTAATAATTGTACATAAAAATAATTAATTCAAATTTTTTGTGGGTTTATTAACAGTTTTGCACGTTATTATTATTAACAAACCAAGACATTGAATGACCGTATTCTCAAATTTTTGTTGTGGTCCAGTTTCTTTTGTTACAAGCTTGACGAGAAATAACTTTCGATTGTGCAAACAGTGGTGGTGCCAGCCACTAACATACCTATAGATCTAATGGTGTCCATTCGTATACCAAATTTAACATATCCACCCATGGTTAACGCGCAACATTCATTTCAAAATAATTCAAGTTCTCAATAGTAAAATAAACCATTATATTGTGGTCGGTCTGTGATAACGTGGGACCTGGTACGTATGTACATCGGTCCAAGTTACCACACCTCATTAACACGGAGATGAAGTTGTCAAGTCGAATCTCAGAATAGTGTTAGTAACAGTATCATTAGTAACCGAACAATCAGGAACTGAAGGAAATATAAATTAGTGAAATAGAAAAGTTGTACGGAATCCAAAAGCTTAGAATTGAAGGAAGACAAAGAATGGATGCACGTGTGCCACTGCTAACGGTTTCCAGCTATGTCACTCCAAGTCTGTAACTATTAGTTACGACAATCAGGTGGACGCCAACCAGGTAGTCTATACAACCATCCAGTTGTCGATGATTTTATGGATTGATGTCATGCTTTCAATTGGTCCACTTCTAGCTCTCCTCCGGTTTACTCTCACACCACACATCTCCCGTCGAGGTAGGCTGTGGTTGGGCTTACGTCACACGTCTCAACCATCTGTTTAAGATTTGCTACCCCATCAATCGACTCACCATCCTAATCTAGTACCGTGTTTCTAGCCAAAGCATTGCTTACTCAGTGGTCACGAAATACTAGAGGAATGCTTCGAAAACACCTACGATCGAATACTAGTGGTCTACGAACATATTTTATTCTGAATGGTCATTATTATGTTATAGAACTATTGCAGAGCAGATACTAGTTGATATGTAATGCGTTGTTTGAATAAACGACGTTTTCAAAGTTCGAAACTCATGACCCTCGGCTGCAGCTCGAATGCAATCGAAACAGAAAACAAACCTGTAGATAACCTATAAACTTTGATGGAGAGGTGATATTCCAGCTTCAGTGTTGATCGGTAGAATTTGGGTTTAAGACTAGCAAACAAATTCTGACAACACCCCCACCGCGAGAAGGCAATGAGTAGGACTTCCTTGACAGTGGCTATATAAGAAAATTTCGAGAGGGAAAGCTTACTCTCCTTACCCTCGGCCATACTGAAAATGCGTCAAGCTTAATAGACATGAATATGATTATCGACATGTAAGTTCGGTTACTTATTCCTCAAGACACCATTTAGTCCCGCCGACTGACTTTCTTTAGTAGCGTCTGTCCCCTACGGTTCTTCAGCAGTCGGGTCACCTCAGCTAAATTAGATATTGTTGTCACCTACGGTCAGTCATTCAACTTTGTCAGAAATATGTTAGAATCATTGTAGTCCAACTTAAGTGTGATTACGTGCTAGTATTATTACTAACAGTGTATTTTCATGTGAAAATCCTACAATATGAAAATCAATAATGTAAGGATATTTTTCGATTTCCTACAGTCGTGTTATATGTTAGAAATATTGCTTCTGAACTTTAACATATGGGGTTGGATGGTCATGTATGCCCTCAAAAAGTTACTCGTACGATGGAACCAACGAATCCCTTCACGACTTCGTTGGTGGCATGATTGCACCAAGGAAGTTTTTGAAATACGACTGACAAGAAAGGCTTTTCTAGAAATGTAATTGGAATCTTACCGTCACTTCTGTGTACGATTTGGAAGTTCTTCACCGAAGCTTGCGTGACGCGACCATGAAAATTGAGCACGTATGATTGGGTCTCTGAAAATGTATAAGCGAAGAAGAATGAGTCTATGTATTAGTAAATATTAACCAACTTGGCAGTGGGGTCTTTTAAGATCAATTGGTAATCAACACAATGCATACGTTGAACTGAGTGCGTAAACGGCGGCTACAGGTATCATCTGGGATAAACTAACATGTTTCAACTCGGTGAACAAAGTCACTGTAATCATAGCTTCGTAAATAAGATTCTTAGTGAAACAGCTCAAGTGAATAACCTTGACGAAAATTCGAAAGGGGACAAATATTCCACCTTAACCGAATGTTAGAAAGGCTTTATAATTGAATATAAATTCATTACCAATTAAGAAAATGTGAATCGGTAACTAAATTTAATGTTAACAATAAGAATAATCGTGGGTTGTTAGTAATGAAATAGATACACAAACTAGTCAGTTAGGAAAATGTCGTACAAACAATGGACACGAAGACTAGCTTCATTCTTCTAAATTCTTATGGTTAACAGCATGTTAGGAGCGAAATTGTAAGAAATAAAACATGGGATAGCACTTACTAGATAACCTTGAGGGTTAAGCATCTGCCTCAGTTTAATGACACAGTATGCGAGGATAGGGTTCCTTATTGTTCGTTACTATTCTCCGCCCGACCGTCATGCGTGATGTTTAGAGGTGCGATGGATAAACTTGTACAGTTTCGTTGACTCATTTTTGAACTACAATGTAAGGATCAGAGGCTACTTAGGTAGACAGTTATTTCACCTTAGTTTCTGTTATAGGTGTAGGTTTTGTTAGAAATTCCGACAAGCGATAGATTTCTGCTCAGGTCACGGATAGTATTTAGGATGCTCTTGAAGTTGTCTTTACAAACAGCTCCTGCTCTTCGCTGGTGCACTTATCTATAAAGTACTGATATGGTGGAAATCACTTGGTGACCGGATTCTTCGTATATCCGACCGTTTCAAAAAGACGAATGCCATTATGTTGTTGGTACTCTTAGTACTGTTGCTTAATATGAGCATCTAAGTCAATCCAAAAAAATGGACGCATCGTGTTCGATGGATCATCAGTTAATCCCTAAAACAATCTAGAAGCTACTGTAAAGAATATTTTACTTTTTATGGAAGTTAATAGGAACAATATGCTATATGTAAACAGGAGAGTAAATAAGGACTAGATGGGCTACAGTCCAAATTACAATGTACGTAGCTGCTCAATGGGCAGCAATGATGAAATGACCCCTTCATAAGGGTAATTTATCACAGGAATAAAGGGATACCACAGTCACTCAAAACCGTAAAATAGGATATAGACATCACCCATCAATATAAATACTGTGTGGCTTGGGAAAACCGATATCGGAATACGAAATAGTTCCTTTGGAAAAACTATTGTGATCTTAAAACCCTAAATATTAATGATCAGCGTATCATATCGTTATAAAAACGGTAGAACAACTCGTTCCTCACTAAAAGATGAAGTCCCTAGATAACAGTGAACCTGCGTATGTATCTTATGTTGCTTTCAGCAAAGTATCAGAGAGGGTCCCACAGTCCATGTTTCTATTGATACGTTGGGAACTACAAATTTTTGGAGATCCACTCATAAATCAAGGAGTAACAATCAGCTCTTAAATCTCCTGTAAACTGACGCATATCAGGCCCCCACAGAGCATAATATTGATTTCAATAACTCTTGACTGTAAGTCAGTCAGCTACAAGGTAGGACCAGGCACATATGTACATCGGTCAATTTTAATAACTTATGCTGCATACAAATATGCTACCTAGTATGTTCATAACTTTAATATAACTATACAAATGACGATGAACAAGTATTTAGAGATTATCTTATTATTGTTTATTATCCAGCTACGCTTGTTTACCACGAAGATTCGAACAATTAAAAAAGTTGGAGAAACATTTCAGCCGTTAGTTCTCAATTACTTGGGACTTGCAATCAGAATTCGATAGGTAGGACTGCTTTTTGCTTACAGTTAGAGATTCCTGAACAATATAGTCGTCAAGAAGGACATTCACAAAGACATGAAAATTTGTTCCACATGCTTATATATCTCATGACAACAGTTTAAAGGATGGATTATCTAGATGGCCAATAAACGGTTTGGCATTTCAAACCACATAAAAGGTTTTTAGTTCTGATGAGATAAACAACGTGCAGATTTTTTTCCACTAACTTCTTTTTTACGAAAACACGTGAAGGAATAATGAATAAAGCAAATCCATGGTAGAAGAACATATCCGGTCCTAACACGTTGTACAGGAAATATAACTTTCTAAATCGAATTACTTACAAACAGCTAAAGTTTTATAGCCTTAGCTAAGTAAGTGCAACTTTTATCCAACAGACATACTTTCTGCAAAAACGAGAAAAAGGAAGCGCAAGTTTGTTAGTGGTTTAACGGAAATTAACGATTCATCGAAGAATTGGTCAACTGAAATTTTGAACCATCAGTGGGAAAAAAGTGAATTTGAATGGTGCAAATGAAGTTCCAACCCACTTAGACGACTGGCTAACACAAAAACCCAGACCATAACGTTCTACTGACATCCCTTTGATACGCAAGTGAGATCCGGGAGTAGTAGTAGTCATCCAAGAAATCAACATACTTTTGTATAGGACTTTCGAGGGTAAAACAGTCCTTACACAAATTATAGCAATCTGAAATGAAAAAGGTATTATGGATGTCAGTTCTGACCCATTCGAACCTTTCTCATGTACACTAAGATATAAAATGCCCCCCTGAACTGGTAAGAGAAATCGTGCATTTCCGTTACTTCTATCTGAAATCCTACGAACTTGAACCTACCACGAAAGAATTTCAGTCTTACCTGAATGACAAACAATACAATCAATAGATATACCGAAAACGACGAATAAAGATACATGTAATAAAAATGCTCTGAGTGTGAACATTAGATTTCGGTGAGCATTCTACAGCATCATGACGATAGTCAATCAATTCTGACAGACTGAGAATACTTTGACGTGTAAGCCATTTGAAAAGATGCTGTAGAACATTACTATTACGTTCAACATATTTAGTGATTCCTTACTGTACCCAATTTTCGGACTCCAATAGCTAACACTTTTATGCCAGCTGTGAAAATACCTTTTGGATAAACAGGTTCGCAAAGTTTGGGGTCTTTGTTTTTCAATTACTAATTTCCTGAATGATATCTTTTGCTGTATACAAACAAATACTGACAGATATATTTGAGGTGGTCAACGACTCATTGAATTTCATCTCACGTATACAATAGACTGAAATACACCAGTTAACAGCGTTTATCACAACATTACACTACTACTGTATTATGACAGAGAATTCATAAATAAGTTTTATAAACATTATTCATAAAGTACAACATTATATCTCAGGAATGCCCAATCGTACAGTCGTTCTTATGATTACAGACCACAGTTTGTTTTTGCTTGGATCACGATTAATTTCCAACAAGGAATTAAATGTTTACTATTTTAGGCCAGTAAACGATAAACAAGAAATATGCTCCGTTTTTTGGACAATACCGTTTTGAAGGATGAATCAATATACATGTTGCCTTACCTTCGTTCCAAACAGGATTCTTGTTTTGTAGTTGTAGAACGTTCTGAATATCTTTTCTCCTCCATGAGTCGATTAGCCAGGTAGTATCCTAGATGAACAAGGAATATTTGCTAATTAAAGATGCCAGTGTTATTGTTAATTTGAAAATCACGCTTGATGAATCAACGCAGATGTTTATAAAAAGGAACTAAACTGAAGCATGAACTACTTTAGGAATAAGTGCGTACAATGCAGCGTAGAATGACAGTTCTCATTACTAAATTTTGATTATTGAACAAAATAGGCATAAATCGATTACGTTATACCTTTCAAATAACTGAATAAAAATACGTCTATGCATGAGTAAGTATAAATTCAGAGATAATAATTTAGAACTTCAATATAAGTATTTATAAACGAGATGTGACTAGACAATTATTATATTCATGTAAAGAGAAAAATCAACAATACATAGTAATATCGAGCACCAGCGACGACGAATGTCTCGTTGCTATAACATACTAGCCGACTGTGGTAAAAAAAGTGGCACTAACCACCATTTAAATATAAATGAGTGAGCTCAGCTCAACAGGGAATTAACGACACCAGATTACGAATTGAAAGAGCTAACTCTAGAATGGTTATTCCAATAAGACCGACATTTCGCATGCTAATAGTGTCATTTTTAAGCATGACAACCTGCACAAAACTTTATTATCACAAAAATATTATTTTGATATTGAGTTTTAAAAAATGGTATATTGACTAAGGACATACATTTCCAGGACATGAAAAGTGCTGACAAGTAGCACTTAAGCGCGGCAAAATAATAGTCATTCTCCTTGGTCCTTTGAAACCCAGTACGTTTGTATCCTGAGAAAAACGAGTAAAGGTACAATATCAAGAAAATCACTTCCAGGATTGTGGAATAAAAGCTGGTTTATTGATAGTAGACTCTATGTTTAATCGGACAAAAAGTTATTATTAAAGACTTTTTAGACAATATCGCACTTAATATTTGAAAAACAGTCATTTTAACCTTAACGTTTTAGCTAATAAAATGTTTCTTTATTCATACACATTCGTAAAACTTACACAAGTAAATAACCAGTTACTTACTATTGGCTGAAGTATTACCTATAACATCCTGTCATTTTACGAAATTCACATGTTAAAGCTGCTTTATGGAGTGTACCTAGAAAAATAGATATAATGTTCACTGTATCTTTTTATCTGAATGGGGATACAGAAGTGTTCGTCTATGTTAAGCTCAAAAAAGGTGTTTAGTACATTTTTGCTAATCATGTTTTGAACATTTGCTTCAAGGTCATGTTTTCGTTATCATCCGTTATATTTGTGACAAGCTTACTAAGACAGTTTGAAGTATATAATGAGAACTTGACTCAATGTATTTCCGCTCAATTTACCAAACTTTCTCGTCCACAGAGCGGCAAGAAATCGACAACACGAAACATACGGAATATAACAGGAATGAGACAAATGAAACCAATCAAAATTCATTATCTATGTTCCCCACCCATATGTTTGGAGAAATTCGCATAATCTATCCTGAAACCTCCATCACTTGACATGGCTACTTCCAACAGTCAACGGATTTATGGATTAATCCCACTTTTCTGTTTGGTAGGTCCTAAGCATCTATAGACCTACTCCTCTGCTGGTCACCATTGCTCATCAAAAACCAGTTTCTAGGATTCGTGACGTAATTAGGGCCACAGGTACTGATAATAAAACTTACGTATATGATTGCAGCAAGCTCTAGCATATTGTGTGTCTTAGTAGTTGTCGTTATCGAACCAGAATCATTTACCTTGTCCCCTGAATTTAAGGATTCACTATCTCGTAATTTCGATTCACAGCCGTACACAGTAAAATGAGTACCCAGAAAGTTAGAGCGCAGTTTCCCGGCAAAACTAATTGCATCACGAGATAAATTGGTGGCATCACAAGAAATCACATAGTTACTCGTTGTTGATCGCTTGCGACGCCTGGCTGCAAGTAAGAAGAACTTACAGTCTTCTTTTTCAAGATGAAGATAATATGATGGGAAAATTCCATGATCGACACCTCGTTTGTCTCGTGTAATACGACAACGTATGGTCACACCCTTTAAAGTCAAAAAATTAATTGGAAATTAAGATACAAGCAACTTCTGAATTACAAACGATAAAATGTTATTTCGAGTATCCTGAAATGAATCAAAAATTTCATATCTACACCCAAGACAAGTGGTTGTTGTGCCATCGTAGCTTCTAAATTACTGTAGTGAACAGAACACGGGTGGGGACAATTGAATGTATTTAACACAAAATTACAGGACTTGTTAATAAAATCTAACAATCATAAAGTAAATGCTTAATTTGCAAAATGTCCACCAATTGTCTCAAAATGACTCATACTTCATTGTTCTTGCATTTTCATACAAATTGCATTTTGTTTCCACTCTTTACTGTTCGACCCTCTTGTCTCTGCTGCCAGATCTTCTGTTCACGACTAACATCATATACTACTCATGTCAATATAAGTGGCACACACCACAGTACTACAGATAATCAAAATGGACTGGTGCGGTTATTGAGAATTATCATTTATTTTTTAGAACTTGAAGATTTCTGAAGAATCAGATACGATAGTATCTTTTGGGACTGAAATTATTAACATGAGAATTTGAACAGGTTTTGCTCATTAAAATAAATCTGTATTACTGATCATGAGCTATGTACAGAGAAAAATAAAACGGACTCCAAACACAAGTCATGGTATTCATAATACATCAATTAAATTGTAAGAAATGGTAGTGAAAGTTCAATTTAAAAGAATTTGAAACAATGTTATTGGGTTTTCTTATGATTGACTGAAGATTTAGCAGCTCAGAAGTAACAGCTCATCATTTCACAAAATAGTATGATATAGAGTTACCACATGTGTATATGTTAACGTTGTAATAACTAGTATGTGGTGAACGATTACCCTTTTCAAATATTAAGGTAATATAAGTCAACTTTTAAGTGTTGTTCTATTTTAACTGATTCCAATTAACTAACCAATTTTCCCAATGATAAAATTCTGGAAGCCAAAGCGAAGCATACATAATAGAGGTGGGCATACGTTTTTGTGAAGTGATTCAATGAATTCAGATAGAACAACTGGCGGGGGCGACATACAGAATGCTAGTATATTTTCAATTAATAAACTCAAGTGCATCAACCATTAAAAAGACTAACATTTAATTACACAATTATCAGCGTTAACAGTATCGCATTATCAACAAAATGAGTATGAATATGTAGTTTTTTACTGGTCCATTGTATTCAGGAAATATTTTGTTTGAGACAGCAAAACAAGTCCTTCGGATAAAATGTTTCAAGATTTTAGTAAAAAGTGTCACGTTCAAATTATCTCATACTTAGCAGCTTTCACGGATAATCTCGTACACAGCTTTTTTCCCACCTCTGGTCCATAATTATAAATGAAAGCAGAAAAGCCATATGGTAAGTCCGATTTAAGCGAGGGTGACCTACAATCAGTAAGCCTATCATATATTTAGCTAAATCCAATACCCATGTGTCAATTCTAGGATCAATTTATCTAAATACACCTGAGTTGTCTCGTACCTAGTCAGTAATATGGCTTTCTACAGAGTACTGCCTTTTCTTTTCCTTTCCAATTTAGGACAATTAGGTGTATAGGCTATATACAGTAGCTAAGCTGAGTGATTGAACATAACAATTGCAATTTGGAAATAATTGGATAATTGACAATATAAAATAGTTCTGTTACATTTACCTGAGGAGCAGGTTTCATGATGAATTCTTCCAAGTTCCTAGTTGGATCTAAAAGTAAGGACTGAGGTGCCTCACCATACTTTAAGTCTTCACACTCCTGAGTAGCGTTTGTCTAAATACGTGAAACATTATACACACATTTTTATCAATGTACTCAAAAATCGACTACACGTTAAGGAAGCAATGAATTAAAGCAAAAATGCAAACTTGGGATATTGGTAAGGTGTCATAATTATCGAAATTTCTTATAGGAATTCTTTTTTGTCTTCATTTTTACAATAGGCCACAAAATATTATAAAATAGGCTGAATTCGTTTAGTATGAAATGATTAGTATACCGGATTGGAACCAAAGTATTTTGAATAAAAATAAAGTTAATTTGGCACAAAACATGGGTAAAATAAAACTTTATACTTTTCTATATGAATGAGAATGAGAACAAACTTAACAGTCGATTCAGTTTTTAAAATACAGAGGATACACGAAACATATGCTAGGTGAGGCTTTGCGAACAGTTCGATGGACTTCTATTGTTATGCAAGTCAGATTGGTGAGGCAATACATTATCGGTGAAGCATGAGTTTAAAATGGAAAGTTATCTCAGTGACGAAAACATCTTAATACATGGTGTGACGTATCAGTGGCAACAGCTACTCAATGAATCAATTATTTGAAAAATAACCCTAATTATTTTGATTTTGTATCCAATTCACTGTCGCCTTTTGTTGTCATTAAGAAGTGTGACAATTTTTCATATGAACTTAATACAATAATAGCCTGAGATTTTAGTAGGTCAATATGAAGTATTTTATGAGTCGGAATTTGCTTATTTCACATCACATTGTACACAGGTTGTCTGGAGACTCATTAGAAAACTATAACAACTAGATGACAGTGAAATAATTATACTCTCATTTGTGAACAATATCTTACGGAGGGTAATGAAATAGTTTGAGCAGAGTTCCTATTTTGAAAATGTTACCTTGTTTGAAGAAGAATCCCAAGATCTCCTAACATTAGGTTTTCCAGAGTGATTCACATCAAGATCCAATATTTGGGTTAAAATTGCTTTCTGGCAGAGGTTTTCCGATAAGTCTAAAGAATTCTCAAGGGTCGTTAAGACTTGTTCGACATTCGACTTATTCCCTTCAATGGCATTGCTAACGTATTGCATAGCTGTCAAAGAACCACTAAGTGAAGATGTATTTAAACGATTCACGAGAACAGCTAGTGGGGCATGGACTTTTCGGCCATTACGAAAATTCTGATAACTACGCTCCCCATCCAAAGTCTGCAAAATATAGTTGAGGTGACTTAATAAATTCCGTCAAAAACTAACTTTACAGTATGCGGATAATTTATATGCTTTACCAATCATTTTACTGTGAGAAGGAAAGCCCTAATCACCTTCAGTACTGATTCATCTAGGGATTCAGCGTTAACACATAAGATAATTTATTTGTGAAGAATTCTTAGTATGAGGAAACAAAAGTGGAGATGGGAAAATTATAAACTTTGATTCAGTGAACAACATCAGATACTTCGCCAAAATTAACAACTTCGTATTAAAGCTATTACCGGAAACCACATTGGTGGCTATTTAAAGATGATAAGTAATATTTTGAATCGTCATGTGTAAAGTAGGCTTTTAATTGAACGGGCCTCTTATAAATGGGTGTATAAATGGAAAGGAGAAACTATGGAACACGTTGTTGTGTGGTTCAGGATATATATCTATAATGCATGTATTCTGAACAACTGATTTATGGAATTTTAATATTATCCTAACCCATCCAACGCACTAAATGCGAACTTGCACAGTGTAAGTTTTAAGCCTGAGTACATCGTTAGCTTTATGCTGTTCTCGCTGATAGTTCGGGACAGAATTTTCGGGTGAACAAATCAGTGTCACTGTATATCTAATGTGAGTTATGTTAGCAGCGTTCTCGGTGTAAGTAGAAAATACAACAGTTTCCATTACCATTGTTATCGCACAAAGCACCAATCAGCTTCATAAATATTTCTTTTGTTTCAAATAGAAAAATTTAAATACTCATGTTACATTATAAACTCAAAACTGGTATGTGATATATAGGACTAACCTTCTCAACAGGATTCGCATTATTACCAGTATCCGAGTTTTCGCTGTTGTATTTGGTAAAATTCGTGACTCCGCTATAACTATCCTTATGAAGATGACCATTGGGATTGTCAGATATCTTCACTACTTGTTTCTGAGTCATAAAACCAGAGTGAGACTCCGCAATTTCATTTTCGCCATCATTATCCTCTACAAAATTCAGGTACGATATACCGATAAAGACTTCAGTACTCATAGTGAAGATCGAACGAACACAAAAAGCCTGCGATCTGGCATACGTATATTATGTACTTAAAAAGAACGCAGAGTGAACAGCTACTTAAAGTGAAATTCCAGATCATTTATGATCATTTTACATTTTACACTAGAACTGGAATCTAAATGATAACCAATAGGCTAGTGATAAGATTACCGACGCATAATTTTTATACTTTTAATCATTAAAGAATAATTTTCAACATTAGATTTTCGTAACAGCATTTCGTGAAAATAATTAGCGTACATCAAGATACACTCGTTCGAAACAATCCTTAATAAATGTCTGGAAAACATTAATCAATCTGATCATTTTACTGATAATCAACTAAATAACGCACACCTTTGTGAACCTCTTTGATACACTTTAGTTGGTCATGATTTGTGCATCAGGTCTACATTCTAGCTTTTCCATAGTACAAGAAGGTACCATGCCCTGGTACGGCCGAGAGTGGGGAGAGTCCGCTCTCCCTCTCGAAATACTCTCACACGGCCACGCGTATACAGCCTCTGCCAGGGAAGTCCTACTCATTGCCTTCTCGTGGCGGGGGTGTTGTTTACGAAAATGAGAGGACGAAAAGCGAATGTCCGGCGCTTTAACCGGATTCCAAATCAATGGTGCACATGGGCTCCAGTATCCTGCGGGAACGAATGGCGTATGAACCAATCGTTGGTCACCGGCTACCATGGGACTGCATCTCCTTACGATGCTCCACTGCCTTGTGGGTTAGACCTTTAGGTCAAAGGCTCGGGGAGTGGCCCCCTAAGATAACCACCTGCTTCGGTTTGGGCACCCGGGCAGTATCACAGCCCACACACAAATTGATGAACTCTTTATGCCTATGGAAATTACCTTTCTCGCTTTGAAAAACAAACAATTGATTCAGATTATTATCATTACAATTATTGTCATTATTAATACTACTATTATTATTATTATTATTATTTTTATTATTATTATTATTATTATTATTATTATTATTTTCCACATTATTCACCCTCTTTTATACTTATACAGCGGCTCGTCTTTGGTGGAAATCCGACTGTATCTAAACGTTCTCGAGTCACTGTCCGGTTGAAAATTGTATGTTACCACCGAATACGAGGACTGAAGCAGATTTTCTGAAACCACGTGCACCATTCAAACTGGCTGCCTTCAACGTTCGCACATTTATGCAGGTCGGACAACAGATAGGGCTGGCTATGTCTTTGGAAAGTCTTAATATCGACGTTTGTTGTCTATCCGAGACCCGTATTCAAGACTCTGGCGAAGTACTACAAATTCGATCTCCATCTGTCGCTTCGAAAAGCTTGTTTTACGTGCGCTTATCCGGGGACCCTGTGGCATCTTCGTCTGGTCTTGCTGGCGTTGGTGTCGCACTAAGCGCTAGAGCTGAGGCAGCACTAGTCGATTGGATCCCCATTAACAGTCGGTTATGTGCTGTTAGATTAGAAAGTTCCATCAAAGTGAGAAGAAATCGGCGTGAGAAACGATGTCTTTTCGTCATCTCCGCCTATGCCCCGACAGATTGCAGCCCGGATGCAATCAAGGATGAGTTTTACCACCAGTTATTAGTTCTTCTCCAGAAAGTGCGTTCGACAGATATTGTAGTACTAGCCGGAGACTTGAATGCTCAGGTCGGGCGTCTAGGCACAGAAGAGAGTCGTTTAGGTGGCCGATGGGGACTCGTTGGTCGCAGGTCAGATAACGGGGACCGTCTACTGCAACTTTGCACAGACCACAACCTGTTTCTGGCTAGCACTAACTTTCGGCACAGTCATCGCCGATGTGCCACCTGGCGTCCTCCCTCTGCATCTCAAGCCTGGACTCAGATTGATCACATCGCGATCAGCTACCGCTGGCGTGGTTGTGTACAAGACTGCCGCTCCTTTTGGAGTACCTATCTGGACTCTGACCATGCCTTGGTCTGCGCCAATCTTGCCTTACTTTTCAGTGGACAACGAAGTGAACGCCATCAACGGATTGATGTTAGCAAGCTGGTTGCAACTTCTGTTGCAAGTAAGTATCGAACCGAGCTAGCCTCTAGGCTAGCTACCACTCCACCGAAAAGTATAGATGAGCATTGGTTGCAATTGCATGACGCCATGAAAATGGCGGGAACAGTCAGTTGTGGGTTTGCGAAACGTCCCGCTTTAAGCACTGGGTTTCTTCTGGTTCCTTACAACTCATTGAAGCCCGTCGGTCTACTCCGGGTGACCGTGAGTTTGACCATAAACGAAGGATGTTACGTAAGGAAATTGGGCAAAGCTTGCGTAAGGACCGAGAAGCCTGGTGGTCGATGCGTGCTAATGAGCTGGAAGCAGCAGCTGCATCTGGTAACTACCGGAAGCTCTTCCAGCTCATCCGAGCCACTGGCAGCAAGAAGTCTGGTGTGAGTGAAACAATCTGCGAGGATGATGGGATGCCAATCACTAACATCCATCGACGTCTTGGACGATGGGCAGAATTTTTCGAAGGGCAGTTCAACTGGCCTGCTGCTCCGGCAACATCGGTCAGACTGTCCTGCCCTCCATGGCCGGTGACGACTGATCCACCAAATGAGGAGGAAGTCCGCAAGGAACTCCAACTCTTGAAGCGTTACAAATCACCTGGCCCAGATGACTTACCTCCGGCTCTTTTTAAAGATGGTGGTGACTTTTTGACTAAGGAATTGACGACGTTGTTTACAAAGGTTTGGGAACTAGAGAGTGTACCAACGTCATGGAATGAGTCGATAGTTGTCCCTATCTTTAAAAAGGGTTCACGTCGTTCTGTAACAACTATCGGGGGATAAGTTTACTTCCGATTGCGTCCAAGCTATTGGCTTCCGTCATTCTTCGTAGGTTGTTCAAAACCCGAGAAAGATTGACTCGCGAGGAGCAGGCTGGGTTTCGTTCTGGTCGAGGATGTATTGATCATATCTTCACCCTCCGCCAAATGTTAGAACACCGCCATACTTTTCAAAGGCCAACAATCGTAGTGTTTCTTGACATCAGGGCTGCCTTCGATTCGTTGGACAGGACTGTTCTCTGGGATTGTCTATTGAAGAAGGGTGTGCCTGAGAAGTTTATTAACATCCTGAAAGCCCTATATAAAAACACCTCAGGCAGAGTGAGGGCATACAACCACCTCTCTCCATTGTTCCATTCGAGCAGTGGGGTTAGGCAGGGTTGCCCAATCTCACCATTCCTCTTCAACTTTGCCATCGATGACATTCTGGAAACAGCTCTGATGAATGTAAGTAATGGTGGTGTGGATCTGTTGCCTGGAGAAAGACTTCTCGACCTTGAGTATGCGGACGATATTGTCTTACTGTGCGATAATGCCCAAGGCATGCAATCCGCACTTAATCAGTTGGCAATCAGTGTCCGTAGGTATGGTATGTGCTTTGCACCTTCGAAGTGCAAAGTACTTCTACAAGACTGGCAGGATTCTAATCCTGTACTCACCCTGGATGGTGAGCAGATAGACGTAGTTGAGAAGTTCGTGTATCTGGGTAGCTGCATAAGTGCTGGTGGGGGTGTGAGTGATGAGATCAATGCACGAATAGTGAAAGCCAGAGCGGCTTATGCCAATCTGGGCCACCTTTGGCGCCTTCGTGATGTTAGTCTGGCTGTAAAAGGTCGGATCTACAACGCGTCGGTGAGAGCAGTTTTGCTCTATGCTTGTGAAACCTGGCCTCTCCGAGTTGAGGACGTTAGACGACTCTCTGTGTTCGATCATCGCTGTCTCCGAAGGATTGCTGACATTCAGTGGCAACACCATGTCAGTAATGCAGAGGTTCGGCATCGTGTGTTCGGGCACAGAGATGATAATCAATTGGTGTCACCATCTTGAAACACCGACTTCGGTGGCTTGGACATGTTCTCCGAATGTCGTCCCAGAGAATTCCACGTCGTGCATTATTTGCCGACTCTGGGACTGGTTGGAAGAAGCGGAGAGGTGGTCAGTGCATGACATGGTGTCGTGGCATGAAAGAAAGCTGCAAAGGACTGGCTTGTGTTGGTCCTTCACGACTCCCTGGTTGGGGTCCGAGAGATGGTGCTACACAGTGGCTAGAGACGTTATCAGATATGGCTCAGAATAGAAGCCAGTGGCGATCCTGCTGTAACCTTCTTTTACTTTCTTCATAAAAAGTGGTTGTGTCTCCTTTACCTGAAAGATTTCTTCTGATTGTACCTTTTCGTTCCGTCGTTACTACCACACTACCTTACTCCAATCTCTTCGTCATTGTTTTATTTTTCTTTTGCGCTCTCTAGTTTTTTTTCTATTTCTCTTCGAATTCTCATTGTTTTGTGTGGCGCATATATATTGGCGCTCTCTTGTACCAATATCCATGTGTTCAAATAATAAATAATAATAATGCTATATTGTGGTAAGCTGTAGACGTGAAATTCTCACGACAGTTGATCTCGACAATGGAATTATTTTCAGAGACTTTTTCCCGAATATATGTAACCTGAAAACTTGCTCTGACATAATATAGGTGTCGTGTATTTTGGATTATTCTGTACACATCAAAACACTTTCATTAATATATTTGTGGCTAAAGTCGTATTTTGACTAGATTGATATCATCTTCAAGGAATGAATATACATATGGTAATCTAAAACAAAATCATTTAACTTATTAATACTCAAATCGCTAAAATATATAATTAAATCACATATTAGCAATGTAGAGGCTATAAACCACCTAAGATCAATAAGCTATCATGGATCTATCCCAGCCAGAAGCACCAATCAAAAAAATTAAGCCAGAAATGTATAAAGAATAGAGTAGTTGAGTGATGATTTTTCATGTGTAGAAACCTAGACTGCTACAACAGAGCTCTTCGATAAGTAGAAATAAATTATGTGTGTACCAAGAAAGTGTTCGGAAATTA